GGATGGGGTCAAATGCTGCACCAAGTGGTACTCGCATTTAGGGCCCTAGGTGTGCAGAGACGATTGTCAATCGGTACAGCATTCAGCCCTGTCCAGCACCAGGCTGTTATAGGCTTTGACAGACTGCAGGCAGCGGGGTTGGCCATGTCTGAAATTAGGTCTTATTTGTATATCGCTTACTTAAAATTCATTTGAAACTACACGTCCTTCTAATGCTGGCCACACACAGCTCAGATTTGAGCCACCTATGGCCCTGCAAGAACCAGATAGAAAATTATCATCCAAACAGTGACTGCATCCTATCACATGTTACTCATGCAGTGGGGATGCCCCCTACTGCAAGGGTTAAATGCTTGTGTTTGTCTAGGGGGGACAAAAAATTAGTTATACTTACCTTATCCATCACTCCTATAGGCTTCTCTTGGACACTTCATTGGTCGCACTCTGACGTCATCACACAAAATGCAAGATTAGGAGTCCTGCATTGTAAGTGAAGACAGCAAGGGCTTTCCGGCAGTTACCAGGAAAGTGAGGCATAAGGTAAGTAAACAAACAGCACAAATAGATAAATCAACACTCTTCAAAGATCCTATAAAATTTTCACTTTATTGGGGCAACTGTATAAGCAACTTAATAGCGCTACAAAATTTCAAATTCCAATTTCTATGTTCTGCTTTCCGAATTCAGTATTCTAAATGTCAAATTCTGATTTCTGAGTTTTGCATTCCAGGTTCTGAATTCTAAATTATGAGTTCCAAATTTTAAATTTCGTGTTCCAAGTTCCAAATTCTGAGTTTCAAATCCCTAATTGTATGTTTTGAGCTCTGAGTTTTAAATTCTAAATTTCAGATTCTTAATTGCAAATCCCAAGTATTAAGTTCCGAATTCCAAGTTCCGAGTTCCAAATTCTGAATTCTAAATTCTTAGTTCCAAATTCCAAGTAACAAATTATGAGTTACGAATTCTGAATCCCAAATTCCAAGTTCTGAATTCCAAGTACCAAATTTCTGAATTCCAAATTCTAAGTTCCAGATTTCAAATTCCATATTCTAAATTCCATGTTCTGAATTCCAAATTCTGAGTTGCGAATTCCAAATTTCAAATACTAATTAATAAATTCTGAGCTCCAAATTTTGAGTTTTGAATTCCACAATCTGTGTTGTGAATTCCAAATTTTGAGTTCCAAATTCCAAGTTCTGAGCTCCCAATTGCAAATTTCGATTTCCGAATTCCAAAGTCCAGAATTCTAAGTTCAGAATTCTAAGTTTGCAATTCAAAATTTTGAGTTCCAGGTTCTGAATTCCGAGTTTCAAATTGTAAATTCTGAGTTTCAAATTGTAAATTCTGAGTTTCAAATTGTAAATTCTGAGTTCCAAATTTCAAGTTCTGAATTCCAAATTCTGAGTTCCAAATTCCAAGTTCAGAATTCTAAATTCTGAATTCCAAGTTCCATATTCTCTATTTACAAGTTCCAAATCCCAAATTTCAAGTTCTGAATTCTGAAATCCAAGCTATGAAATTTAAATTCCAAATTCTAAGTTTTGAATTCTGCTTTACAAATACCAAATTCTGAGTTCCAAACTCTACTGGTGTGGTGATGATCAGGACAATGCTGCTGATGTCACTGGCTCTGGTGACATTGGCACTTATTTGGCTAGTGATTGGGACACTGTTGTTAGCTTACACTGGCTCTAGTGACACTGTACCAGTGTGGCTACTGATCAGGACATTGTTGCTGGCTTACACTGGCTCTAGTGACACTGTACCAGTGTGGCTACTGATCAGGCCATTGTTGCTGGCTTACACTGGCTCTAGTGACACTGTACCGGTGTGGCTACTGATCAGGATATTGTTGCTGGCTTACACTGGCTCTAGTGACACTGTACCGGTGTGGCTACTGATCAGGACATTGTTGCTGGCTTACACTGGCTCTAGTGACACTGTACCGGTGTGGGTACTGATCAGGACATTGTTGCTGGCTTACACTGGCTCTAGTGACACTGTACCGGTGTGGCTACTGATCAGGACATTGCTGCTGGCTTACACTGGCTCTAGTGACACTGTACTGATGTGGAGGCAATTAGGAACACTGTTGCTGGCTGCACTGGTCTGGTGACACTGGCACTGGTGTTGTTAGCAATCAAGGACACTTTAGCTGGCTGCATTTGTCTGGTGACACTCTGGCTTGGTATGGCTAGTGTTTGAGGATACTGTGGCTGGCTGCACCAACACTGTGATTGGTTTGAATAATGATCAGGAATACTGTGGCTGACTGCATTGATCTGGGGACAATGTGACTGGTGTGGCTAACGATCAGGGACATTGTGCCTTGCTGCGTCATTCTGGAGACACTCTGACTAGTGTGGCTAGTGATTAGGAATGCTGTGGCTGGCTGCACTGGTCTGGTGACAATATGACTGGTGAAGCTAGTGATCAGGGACACTGTGGCTGGCTATGGTGCAGTGTAAAAATGCTGTGTTGCGATAATGCACGTGCATTTATGTGCCTTTTTACACATTAAGGCAGCCCATTACCCAAGAGCTTAAAAAAAGGACATGCCCCAATTTTGGCAGAGTGGTGCACCTCAACACAATAGTGTGTTACTGTGTGGTGTGATCAACTGCAACACATGTTTTGAATGTGCTTTGCCTAACAATGCTTTCACACTGCTTCTGTGTGTTTTTTTCCATGCTGTGCATGCAGTGCAGCATACCCATGTGTTTGGAGCACTTTTCCATAGAGTCATATTGTGTTCTGCGCTTTCTGAAAGTGCATAAAAGATGCATTATGCAGGAGTTTTGGTGCACTTTCAGAGTGCACCCCAAACACACGGGACACAATATAACTCTATGAGAAAGTGCAGTTAACCTGCTCCAAACATGCAGATAAGTTGTGTTGCACCCACGGGAAAAACGCACCACAGCAATGCAAATGCAATCTTACTGCATTGGGGCACCATTCAAAATGAATGGCCCCCCAATGTGCTGATGCATACCATGTGTTAACTAGTGTGCATTACATGTGCGATACTGTGATGCACCACATTAGAAATATGTGAATGGGGCATAAAGAAAATCTACTACTCTTTTAGATATATACCTACTGATTGTGAATGTATGCTAATTGGGGAAAAGCAGAAGGATTTTGGCTAAATTGATGACCTTTTTAGGTTATGCATGGTAATATTGCTGCTTCCTCAGGGTGAATAGGTGACAGGTCCACTTTTATAACTCTTGCTAACCTGGTAATATAGCTGCTTCCTGAGGGTGAATAGGGGACAGGTCCACTTTTATAACTCTTGCTAAGCTGGTAATATAGCTGCTTCCTGAGGGTGAATAGGTGACAGGTCCACTTTTATAACTCTTGCTAACCTAACATTCCACAAAACAAGTATATACTTCTGTACCAGGCAGGCCATAAGATTGTGTGGGGAGGAAAAAAAAAAAAAAACCTCTTTAGACTGCAGGTTTACAGACACATAGGATGCTTATCAGCTGACAAGACTCCACATCCTGGAGCATCCTAAAAAATCAATGCATTCAGGAGACAGGCAACTGTCATTGCGAGGGCATTCCAAAAACTGCCAATACTTATAAGCCTATTAACAAACATCGGTGTGAAGGGGCTTGGAGTGAGCTTCTTGACATAACTGAGATAGACTTGTTTCAAAGCCAGACACTGCCGACCGGACAAGAATTTAACCCTGAAGGAAGCCTTGGTGAAGTTTCTCCCAGATGCCGACCAGTGGCAGACAAAGTCAGACAGATACACAGAGCAGAACTTGAAAAAGCCAGCACTCCAAAGTACAAGAATACTGATTTACTGAAGTTCCATAAAGCCTTAATGGGTCTTCAGAAAATCACCAAACTTGTACTTTTTTCTATATAATGGATTACCACGGTACCGTTGGCCATGCACGCGATTGATGTCAATGGCCTAATAGGACTGTTTACAGATACACAAAGCAGACAAATCGCTGGCAGATGAATTTTCATGGAATACATTGCCTAGAAAAGAATGTTTGGGCATGCTGCAGTTGCTTTTTTCCTAAAAAATCTTGGATTGATGTTACAACATATTACCAAATAATGAGATAGCGCAAGGTCTCATGCAGCTTTCTGCTATTTAGCTAGAAATGTAAAGGGTCAGTCCATCCCAAAAGTCATATATTTTAGTCAGGGGCATAACTACAGAACATAGTGCCCCAAACAAAAATTTTAATGGGGCTCCTTGGCGACTTCTCTACTGTCACTGATCTAAACATAAAATACACTATATTGCCAACAGTATTGGGACACCTGCCTTTAAACGCACATGTACTTTAATAGCATCCCAATCTTAGTCTATGGGGTTCAATATTGAGTTGGCCTGCTCTTTGCAGCTATAACAGCTTCAACTCTTCTGGGAAGGCTGTCCACAAGGTTTAGGAGTGTGTCTATGAGAAGGTTTGACCATTCTTCCAGAATGTCTCTGAGGTCAGGTACTGATGTAGGACAAAAAGGCCTGGCTCACAGTCTCCGCTTGAATTCTTCCCAAAGGTGTTCTATCAGGTTGAGGTCAGGACTCTGTGCAGGCCAGTCAAGTTCCTCCACCCCAAACTCACTCATTCATGTCTTTATGGACTTTGCTTTGTGCACTGGTGTGCAGTCATGTTGGAATAGGAAGAGGCCATCCCCAAACTGTTCCCACAAAGTTGGGAACATGAAATTGTCCAAAATGCATTGGTATGCTGACGCCTTAAGGGTTCCCTTCACTGGAACTAAAGGGCCAATCCCAACCCCTGAAAAACAACCCCACACCATAATTCCCCCTGCACCAAACTTTACACTTGGCAACCACCAAACCCAGACACGTCCATCAGATTGCCAGACAGAGAAGTGTAATTCGTCACTCCAGAGAACACATCTCAACTACTTTAGAGTCCAGTGGCGGCATGCTTTACACTACTGCATCTGAAGCTTTGCATTGCACTTGGTAATGAAAGGCTTGGGTGCAGCTGCTCGGCCATGGAAACCCATTCCATGAAGCTCTCTATGGACTGTTGTGCTAATCTGAAGGCCACACAAAGTTTCAATGTATTTAGCTACTGACTCTGCAGACAGTTGGCAACTTCTGAGCACTGTGTGCTTCTGCATGTGCTGACCCCGGTCTGTTATTTTATGTGACTTACTACTTCGTGGCTGAGTTGCTTCCACTTTGTTATAATACCACTAACAGTTGACTATGGAATATTTAGTAGCAAGGACATTTCTGAGTACCTGACAGTGACCCATTTGTTCTCAAATGTTTGTAGAAGCAGTCTGCATGCCTAGGGGCTTGATTTTATACACTTGTGGCCATGGAGGTGGTTGGAACACCTGAATCCAATTATTTTGAGGGGTGTCTGAATACTTTTGGCAATATAGTGTATGTCTAAATCTAGGATAAGGTAGCAGGAAAGCTGTCAACATAGTACACTAACAAGGACCAGAGCTGTGGCTTCAGGAAGACTGTGGTAGGCTTCAATCATACTTCACAACTTGGGATCGCAGACTGAATTGCTGCAAATCTGCTGGTGTTCCCAAATAGTGTGGCAACCTCAGCACAACGCTCTTTATGTGCTTCAGTGCCATTATCCTTTAATGGCAATTGCAGCTCCTTTAAAAATTTTGTGAAGCTTGTTGCCCAAAAATAGGGCAGGAGCTTCTTTTTGGGCAAAAAAACACACGTAGGGCAGCTCGTTCCAGTGACTAGGCTGGTCCTATGCAACACACAAAATTGCGAGCAAATCACTTTGAAAATCAGGAACGCTAGGTACCGCTATGTGATATCTAAATGGGGCTTAAAGCATACAGGGTTAATTTTGTTGCTGGCCAAGATGACTATAAGCTCTAAAGGTCAATAAATCTACACTACACGGACTTGAAAAACTCTCCTTACTGCATAGCTTGCAAAGGGGGATCTGTGATTAGCAACAGCGATTTTGAAGTCTCCTCTTTGAGTGATTGAAGTCAGCTCTATCACGAGGGTACAGGGTAAGTATCAACAGCAAGCACTGCAATCTGTGAAGTGGAAGTTTAGGCAAAACCTAACTAAGGCTAAACCTATTCTCATCCCCACTCTAACGCTAGTTCAGCTGACCGGGTAAAGGAAAGATCTGTATACTCACCTATACTGTCAGAGGCGGCTTCTGTGTAGAGGAGGGGCAGCCAACAACGGATGCACCATAGTAATCTCAGGCGTTGTTTTGCAGGGACAAAAAATACACTTTTTGATGCAAAGGGGGTTATTTACTAAAACTGGAGAGTGCAAAATCTGGGGAAGCTTTGCATAGAAACCAATCAGCTTCCAGGTTTTGTCAAAGCTTAATTGAACAAGCTGAAGTTAGAAGCTGATTGGTTACTATGCACAGTTGCACCAGTTTTAGTAAATCTCCCCCAAAGAGTCACTAGATGAGGAAACTACAAATCTGCATATGAACCCCAATAATGACAATAGGCAAGGCCTTGGATGGGGGGGGTACCTCCAGTCCTCTTGTACGGGGCCCAGGCCAGCAGGGGGGCCCAGGCAGCTGGGTGAATCGGATGTGGGCAGGGAGTGTGATCGGCATGGCAGGGGAGCAATTACTGGAACAGATCCCCTGTATAGCTCTCCCTACAGCAGCTGGAAGCTGGCTTCTTCTTCTCTCCCTCCTGCTGGCTTTCAGCTGATGCAGAGATAGCCATGCAGGGAATGGATTCTAGCAATTGCCCGCCCTGCCTCACCCATACATTTCCCCCTGCTGCCCAGGTGCCCCTGTGTGCTCCCATGCCGTCTGTGCTGCCGTCTTCCCTCCTCTCCTTCCCACCGGCAGCTGCAAGCACACAATAGGATCATTCAAGATGGAGAGCAGGGGAAGGATCCAGTAAATATGTCACATTTACCAGCCACTTTCTTTCCTGAATGAACACAATGAATGATCGGTACTGATAATTCACTGTGTTCATTCATAACTGAAACTGAGTACACTGTGCTTTTTTAGGGGGTGCCTGTTAGGTTGGCTGTATGTTGCCCCGTGGTTTCTAACAGCAGTTCTGACAATAGGCAACAGCAAGTGTATAAAATGTGAACTTTTTATCAAAAATAACATTGACATAGGGGCTTGTCAATACCATTGCAAAAAGCTCAGATCAAAGCAGGCTCATCCCAAGTACATATCAAAAACAAATGCTGTCTATGTGTCTCATTCACACAAATATGTTTGAAAATTGTAGGCATGCTGCATTTCATGTTCAATGCACACAAATGGGTTGTAATGCTATAGTTACATAGTTAGTCTGGCTAAAATAAGACAAAAGTCCATCCAATTCAACCATTAAAAAGTTATAATCCTACACCCACAGTTGATCCAGAGGAAGGCAAAAAAACCCAGCAAAGCATGATCCAATTTGCTCCTGCAGGGAAAAAAAATTCCTTCCTGTTCCCCCGAGAGGCAATCGGATATTCCCTGGATTAACTTTACCTATAAATGTTAGTAACCAGTTATATTCTGTGTATCTAAGAAAGAATCCAGGCCTTTTTTAAAGCAATCCACTGAGCTGGCCAGAACCAACTCTTGAGTCTATTCCTCATTTTCACAGCTCTTACTGTGAAAAAATCTTTCTGTGTTTGGAGATTACATTTCTTTTCCTCCAGATGTAAAGAGTGCTCCCTTGTCCTCTGTGATGACCTCAAGGTGAATAACTCTACACCGAGTTCACTATATGAACCACTGATGTATTTATACATGTTGATCATATCCCCCCTTAATCTCCTCTTTTCAAGAGAGAATAAATACAGTTCCTCTAATCTTTCCTCATAGCTGAGCTCCTCCATGCCTCTTATCAGTTTGGTTGCCCTTCTCTGTACTTTCTCCAGTTCCCCAATGTTCTTTTTGTGAATTGGTGCCCAAAACTGAACTGCATATTCCAGATGAGGCATTAAAAATGATTTGTACCGGGGTAATATGATATCTCTCTCTCTGGAGTCTATACCGCTTTTAATACAAGAGAGGATTTTGCTCTCTTTAGAAACCACAGCTTGGCATTGCATGCCATTATTAAGCTTGTGATCTACCAGAACTCCCAGATCCTTCTCCACCATTGATTCCCCCAGTTGTACCCCCCCCCCCCCCAGTATGTATGATGCATGCATATTCTTAGCCCCCAAGTGTATAACCTTACATTTATCAACATTAAACCTCATTTGCCTCATAGTTGCCCAATTAAACAGTGCATTGAGGTCGGCTTGCGTGTCCTATGTATGGAGCTAAAGGAAGTGTTAGTAAAAAAAAATGTGAAAATAAAGTACTGTGATGAGTATTAGCAACATCTTGCAGCATGCGTGCACAACACACCCCAATGGGATATCTGCAGCATAATGGATCCGCTGGTGTAAATGAGCCCTAAGCATTACAATGGTAACTGTAGCTTTAAACAAGTGACAGTGAACAGTGTACGGTAACCCTGGGTAACCAACCAGTTTATCATTCATCGTCCTGACTGCCCTAGACAGGTAAGGTGAAATCAGGCGGCTCGCTGTATCTCTGTGTACTCCGAACGTTGCTGGTGCCCTGTGCACTCTTACTAAATAAACCCCACAGACGAGACAGACAGTCAAATAGAAAATAATGACAACCTTAAAGTACAGCTAATAAAAACAAATTGCTCAGTTCTTTATTAATGAACGGTCCTATTGATTAGCAGCGACGCAGCTAATTCAATCTCTATGATAAACAACTTTGTATTTTAGATACAAATATATATGCGTATTATTGGCTTTATAATAAAAGTTATTTCTATGCTAGTTTATTTCATTTGCTTTACATTGGATAAGAGTTATTATTCTGTATATTATTTATTGCACTGTATTTAATACATTAGGACTGACTTATAGAAATGGTGTCTTGACCTGTAGCAACCAATGAGCTGTTTACTGTTCACTTTTTACCAACTCTAAACTGAAACATATATCTGTAGCGCTACCCCGGAGGAGCCATTTGATAGATGGATGTTTCTCTTTTCCACTCAGTGTTGACCTACCATGGACTGACCCAGAACTCTCCGACAAAGGTTAGCTTTATTAAATGTAAATCCCTGTAAAGGAGTATTGGTTTAATACAGAGTACCAATGACAAAGTAATACCCATAAACAATTACAACAACAAGAAGGGCTATCCACTGTCCTCCTTCCTACGTTGCTAGGAGTGGGCTCAGGGGCGAACTGACAACTCTAGGGGCCCCCAGGGCAATATCTGTTAATGGGGCCCCTTTGTCCTTGCCCAAACTCAAAAAAGCCTATGAAAAAGGTACCAGGAGCATCTCATGGGGCCCCCTACTGGCCCCGGGCCCTCGGGCAGTGCCGAGTTTCCAAATGGTCAGTCCGCCCCTGGGTGGGCTTCCTCCTTGACTATGGTGGCAGCCATTCCGAGTTCTCCCCTGCTCCTCTGTCCCTTCGCTGTCCATCAAGGCCAGGGAGGGAGCAATGAGCTGCAGTCGGGAGCAATATTCAGCTGGGCAGCTTGAAGTGACCACAGACCAAAGACACATATTCATTTTCTTAAAGTGGCACTAAAGTCGGCAAAGCAAAAAAACCCTTCCCCCTGCAAGTTAAGAGCATAATGTGCTAGTATGCATCGCAAAGTAGGACATTATTAAAGATTTACCTTAAAACAAAGCTCCCCAAGTGTCACGCTAATACGGAGGACAGGGCTTCCATCTTCACCTGGTCTTCCTTCTGGATTTGCAAACTCCAGCCATTTGAATGGTCAAGCTGTAATGACGTCATGTTCGTGGCACAATGCTCTAAAGCAGTGGTTCTCAACCTTCCTAATGCCACGACCCTTTAATACAGTTCCTCCTGTTGTGGTGACCCCCAACCATAAAATTATTTACTCAGTAATTATAATTCATGAGTGTCGTTTTACCTCCAATACTGCTGCTTTCAACACAGTAGCTGCTTTTAACAGAGTAGCTGCTTTCAACACAGCAGCTGCTTTCTACACAGTAGCTGCTCTTTACACATCGGAAATATGTGTTTTCCAATGGTCTCAGGCAACCCCTATTAAAAGGGTTGTTCGACCCCCAAAGGGGTCGCGACCCACAGGTTGAGAACCACTGCTCTAAAGGGATGG